ATGATGGTGGCTGATCATCCAACGCAGTGCCCTGTTCCTGCTTTCTCCCTATATCCTTGATCCCTTTAGTCCTAAGAACTATAGCTACATCTTTCTTGACAGTCTTCAATGTTCTGGGCTTCCTGATCACTGGCAATATCTCTACCTTATCTAATCCTGTTAGAATCTTATCTGTTTCTATGAGATCCCAACCTCATTGTTCTAAACTCCATTGAATATAATCCTAATTGATCCAGTCTCTCACTGTACAACAGTCCCACCATCCCCGGAATCAGTCTGGTAAATCTGCTTTGCACTCCCCCAATAGCTAGGACATTCTTCCTCAGATGAGCAGACCAAAACTGCACAGATACTCCAGGTTTCATCATACCAATACCCTGCACAGTTGTAGTAAGACATCCCTGCTCCTGTGCTCAAATCCTCTCGTAAGAAGGCCTTATAATTCACTACCTGCAATGACACTCAGGTCTCGTTGCACCTCCCTGTTAATTGATTGCCATTCAGAAAATTAATCTCCTTCCCTGTTTTTGCAACTAAAGTAGATAAATTTACATTATCCACATTATACTGCATCTGTCATGTGGTTGTCCACTAACTTAACTTGTCCAAATCACACTGAAGCTTCTCTGTATCCTCCTCACAGCTCATCCCCCAACTCAGCTTTGTGCCTTGTGAAACTTGGAGATATGACAAGTTGTTTCTTCAACTAAATCATTAATATTATAAATGACTGGGGTCTAAACAATGATCCTTGCCATGCCCCACTAGTTACTGACTGCCACTTGGAAAAAGATTATGTTTCCTCCGACTGTTTGTTTCCTATCTGCCAACCAGTTCTCAATTCAATTCAGTACATGATCTCCAATCCCATGTGCTTTATTTTTGTTTGCTAATCTCTTATGTGGGAACTTATCGAAAGTCTTCTGAAAATCCAGGTTAAACACATTCTCTGTCTTCCCTTATGCACTCTACTAATTACACCCTCAAAATATTTCAGCAGATTTGTCAAGCACAACATCCCCTTCAGAAATCCATGCTGACTCTGTCAGATCTTGTCAGTATCTTCCAAGTGCTCTGCTATGACATCTTTAAGAGTGGAGTCTAGTATTTTTCCCACTACCAATGTCGAGCTTACCAGTCTATAATTTGCTGCTCTCTTTCTACCTCCCTTATTAAATAGTGAGGTTACACTAGATACCCTCCAATTCTTAGAAACTGATGCAGAGTCTACAGAATTTTGGAAGATGATCCCCAGTGCATCTGCTGTTTACAGGGCCACTTCCCTAACAACTCTGGAATAAAGTTTATCAGGCCCTGGGACTGGTTATATAGGTTGGCAAAGTTGAAGCTGACCTGAAGTTTCACAAAAGGCTGATCTTAATTACCTTCTTAATACAAATGATACTGGTGGGGTTTAAAGTCACATGGCTTCCTTCCATCATTTCTGTAATATTTCCACCACCAATATTTTAACTGACCTGTCAGCACTCCAGGCTAATACGTACATTTTTTTAAATTCAAATTCATGAGTGAGAGAAGATTGATCTGAAGACTGGAAGGGAAAGATTATAAGACAGGACAGGATGAAAATAAAGTCCACTCTACTCATCAAACAATGTCAATCAAGATTAGGTACATTCAATTCAAGTATGGCCAATCAATTTAATATTTTGTGACAAAGTTCTGTAAATGCATTATCTAAGATAATGCAATCAAAACTTCAGAAATGTATTTAATCAGTTATCCTGCTTGACATCCAACTACATCTACTCACACTTACCCTCTTGTCATTATAACCTGATATCCTCCGGCTGCATTTTCTAAAATGTAAAAAATTACCTTGTACATCTTTAGCAAAGGTATAGGGTAGGAGGCTCTTTTACATTCACAGAAAATCCTTTGGGATCAAGATTCTTCTGACATAACATGTCTAGCTTCCAGCTCATTCACGTTGTACTCATAGCACCATAACAGAAAGAACATTTACAGAAATAGCCTAAAATCAAAAAAGAAAACAAAACTTAAAAAAGTACGGGAAATTGTAGTGAAACAAAGCAAAGGATATAACAGCAGGAAGGGATAATGACGGAAAAGGAGATGGTACAGAAAAATCGATGAGCAAAGAACTTGAGAAGAGATCAGAATATGAAGAAATTCACTGTGTTGTTGCTGAGGTCTAAACTTTTAGAAATCTCTCCTAGGATCCAAATAAATTGATGTAAGGAAAGCTGTAGGAAAAGTTAACTATTCCTATGCTATTTCTTGTGGTACATTTCTATTTGGAAAATATAAAAGGAAGGTACATCTAATCAAGAGATAGAAGCCTTGAGGTTTCACTGTTCTCCCAAGTTGCTTTACCTACCAATTTTTAAAAAGTACTTTTTTGTTACTGATTCATTTTGACCTGCTATATAATAACCAAATCATCATTCCCACATCATATATCTCAAACTCATCCTTAGACTGTGCAAAGTTACAAAGCTTCAGCTGATAGTTCATCTTGAACCAAGGTGCTTTCCTAGAGGAGATAACAAAAAGAACATAAACAGTGATTAATGATAAATTAATAGTTTATTCTTGATTTAGAATGAGTGTCTATCAGAAAATGAGATATTTTAAATGATGTAACAATTATCTAAAACTTATAGCCTGAAATTATTATGTGGTATATTAATTATCAAATCTTAGTGGTTTTCCTAAGTCATAAATTTTTTCTCCCATTATTTTATTTGTGGTGTTAGCCAACATTCCATGGGATAAATTCAATTCCTATGTTTTTTTAATAAGAGAAAAGAATCAATTCACGGGGAAAAGCTTTCTCCTTTAATTTATTATTTCTCAATTTCAATAATAAACTTACATAATGGAGAAAGATGTCTTCTGTAGCAAAGTTATACATATGTTCTTACCTGGTGTCCAGTCAAATTTATCACAGCCACTGTGGCATGTTCCACCTCAGCCAACTGCAGTCAAACAGTATAAAATTAACTCTGTCACAAAAATAAACCTTCTCATGATGTGGGACTCCATTATATTCGTAACACAACTGACATCACAGAAAATTTATATAGGTATAATTTTTAAAAACAAATTGATCAGTTAAAATTTGACTTACTTTCTTTTTCAAACAAGATAACTTTTGCTTTCTTTTGTTAGTGTGATAGCATTTGTTCATAAAACCATTATATATATTATGTATAAACAGATTTCACACAGAATTAATCATACATGGAAGGTGTTCGGGGTTACACTCAGGACAAGCCAACTCATTGTTTTCAAAACTTTTTTACATATTTTTAATTAATTCTTCACATGAGATGTTACATTTGTCGTTAATTCAAAGTTTCTTTCATGCTTCAATCTAACTGAGTGGCTTCCGGAGCCACTTCAAGAACAATTAAGTATTGTTAACATTGGCATGGATCAGCTAAACTGGGCAAAGCCAGCAGCTTTCTTTTGCAGTAATCCAGTGTAGTGTTGCTGGTAATCCAATAGCTTGATGGCCATTCTTGTTAAGACTAATTTTATACCAAGATTTATTTTTAAATGGGCTTAAATCTTCAAACTGCTATAACACCATTTGAGCTCATATTTTACTGGATTATTGCTCTACACCTCTGGTATATTTATGAGGTCCATTCTCAGCTGCAATGATCAAATTGAAATTACAACAGATGAGATTATTCGGTGATATTCTCCTTAATGAAGCATAGGTACCTTTCCCACTGCTCCTCCAAAAAGTTCATGCAGAATAATTGCACACTGAATACTTGTGTAGCCACCTGCATTTTGCAGCCTCATTGTTACAGCCACTCCTGTTCTCTGTTGTCTTTCTTTTGCTCAACCTTATCCTCCAGTCCCCAAGGCAGCCCTGCTGTATTTATCTGCGAATGCACTTTTTAGAAATTAAACAAAAAGCATGGAACAACAGATAATTCTCTTCTTAGTAGTCAAAGTGATGTTTCCAGAGGTCGATGACATTGCAAGAAATGCCCAGAAGATAACCAGTACCCTGAAATGTCAAACTTGCAACCATTAACGAAGTATTTTCAACAGCTCTGGTGAAATGTTCATATTGCTTGTTGGCACCAAAGACGCTGGGAATATTTATTATCTGGCAACTCCAGTGATTGAGCATCCTAATTATCACCATAGGATCCTTAAATATTTGTTCATTGTTTTAAATAGTTCTGGTGTTCGTCAAAACACCTCATTACAGTCAATCCAATATTGCAGGAGACCGATTCAGATTGTTTCTTTGGCCTGTACATTTCTTGCTGGACCATTTGGATGGTTGGACAAAAACATTTTTTAGCTCTTCAATTTTCCATTGGCCCAGATAATCCAATCACAAACATTGCAAGTGTAGAAACAGAGCTAACATGTGGAGCACTATGCATCTAGTATAAGGACAAACCATTGAACTAACCATGGGATTGAAAATAAATCAATACTTTTTTTGAAAAGTTATGTTTCATTTCTTTATCTGAAAGGAGTGATATAATTATTTGATAGATTTCTGCTATAGTTATATATTAAACGATCACTAAGGTCATTTGTCAGGCATGTGGTGTAGCACGTGATTCCTTGTCATTTAACTTACTAAGAGTAGACTTCGGCCCTTGCCATGCCCTATATAACCCAAGTGGAATGGGATGTCAATAGAGATTCCTTCACTCAACATTACAGCATTCTCCATCAGTCTTCAGCTAGTGTCCGGTGAGCAGAAAAGTCAACGGTAGAATATTCATCAACTTTATTATCTATTCTTACAAATAACATTCCACATTTTAAAATCCTTAGGGTATTGCCTCTCAGTTATTTTCTTTTCGGTGTTCATTTTGCATCTAATTTGTCTTCATGTTAGTGAAATTCAGTAGCAACATCGAATTCATCCTGGGTTTAAAGAATATTATTTGCTTTCAATTTGTAGTTTTTTTTAGCCGAATAGTTTCTTATCTTGGTCCTGCGGTTGGGAGACCAAAACTGACTTCCCTGATATGCAATTTAACGCCGGACTTGGATTGGGACTTGGCCAGATGATGGGGAAAAGGGAATGTTTCCTTTGGTTATATCCTCACCGATTGACGGCTATAGGAGTGATCGGTATTGAAATATTCATTAAATATTTGAATACTGCTCCTTGCAGACCATGGCTTCTCGGGCTGAACTGGAGGGCTCACAGGGTAGCTCTGGGACTGGCGAACTCGGGGCTAATGCCAAGCCAGCAGTGAGCGGTAAGTCACATTCAGGTGTTCTCCTTTTGGGCTGCACAGCCAGCAAAGCACCTCAGAGCTGCTCTTTGCTCTCAGCTTCTCTTTCTGGTCTGATGCCCTCTCCGTTTCTCTCTGCATCGTTTCCACATTTCAGGACCCAGTGAGGAACCGGGTTTGCTTCCCGCTTATTCGACCATCGCTCTGGTGGAGGACGAGCCGGAGGATCCCTGGGCAGTGCCCAAACTCGAGGCTGTTGGCATCAAGTGGTCAGGTACCCCTTCATCCCACCCCCAAGGGATAAGCAAGCCTTTGGCTCTTTTCATTCCTTGGCGGAAGCACCGTCTCCTCACAATTGAGTTTAAATGATAATAACACTAATAATAATGATTCATTCTGGCAGATCTGAGTGCCGCACAGAAGGCTGTCCGTGTGCTGACGGCGGTGTTGAAACTGGTGTTACTTCTTGGCTTCCTCTACGTGTTTGTGTGCTCGCTGGACATCCTGAGCTCGGCTTTCCAGCTTGTGGGAGGTGAGATCTCGGCGCGAGCGGGAAACCGAGCCCGCGAGCTGGCGCACACTCCATTCCATATTCCATTCCTGGTGTAGCTGTGCCTCACCACCATCTCGCCCTGCTGCTCTGCTCTCCCACAGGTAAAGCTGCCGGAGATATCTTCAAGAATAACGTGGTCCTGGCAAATCCTGTGGCCGGCCTGGTGATCGGGATCTTGGTAACAGTTCTGGTGCAAAGTTCCAGCACCTCATCCTCGATCGTGGTCAGCATGGTGTCCTCTGGCTGTAAGTAGAGTCGGACTTGCTCTTTGTGACATTGCTTTTTTGCAATGATCTGAGTGTTTTTATGTTATTGCCTGACGTCCGCCCCTGTCCCTCGCCTTACTCAGTGGCTGGGGTAGTAGGAACTGCAGATGCTGGAAAATCTGAGATAACAAGGTGTAGAGCTGGATAGCAGCATCATAGGAGCAGGAAGGCTGACGTTTCGGTCCGAGGCCATTCGACAGATTTTCTGATGAAGAGTCTAGGCCCGAAACGTCAGCCTTCCTGCTCCTATGATGCTGCTTGGCCTGCTGTGTTCATCCAGCTCTACACCTTGTTTACTCAGTGGCTGTTCTGTTTCTTCGCAGTGTTGGGAGTGCAATCCGCCATCCCCGTGATCATGGGGACGAACATCGGCACCTCGGTTACCAACACCATCGTGGCCTTGATGCAATCCGGAGACCGGACTGAATTCAGAAGGTGCGTTCACACGCCACCCGTTTCCCCTTTTGAACTTCTTTTTACAAGCGGTAAAAAAAATCTCCAGCCGACATTGGCTGTGTAGGGCAGAAGGGTAAGAATGCAAGAGTTATTTCTGACAGTAAACTAAAAGTTAAAAGTTGTAACTGCTTTTTTTTGGGGGGGGAGCATGGACAATTATTCCAGTGACTTTAATTGTAGGAAGTCGACAAAGCATTGTAGAAGTAATTTAACAGAGAAGTGTGAAGTCATGCATGTTGATAGGAAAAATAAGGCAAGGCGGGAATGAGAAGCGTCAGTTCTGAGGAGAGATTGAAGAAGAAGTTGTAGCGGTTCTCCCTGCAGGCTGTTCTCCTCAGAGAGAAGGCTGAGAGGAAATCTGATAAAGCTGTTCAAAATCATGAGTATGCTGGACCCAGTAAATGATCGTAAAAGAAGGTCATAGATTAAAAGTAATGTGCAAAGGAAGCAAGAGTGACGTGATGAAAAAGCTTTTTCACACAGTGAGTCGTTAGGATATGAAGCCACTGCCTGGAAAGGTGGTGGAGGCAGGTTCAATTAAAGCATTCAAGAGGGCTTTGGATGATTATTTGGACAGAAATGGTGTGCAGGGAAATGGGGGAAAAGGCAGGAGATTGGCACTAGGGAGTAGAACCACTGTACACATGATGTGTTGGATGGCCTCCTTCTGCACCATAACAATTCTTTGATTGGTTGATATAAACCAAATCGTTTACCTTTAAAAGTTATTCAAGAGCAGAGAGGCCTAGGCTTTAGCTTCTCCAAGATTTAGAAAGTTGCAGTACAAGTTATCAAGGCAGTTAAAAAGACATAAAGGATATTTGGCTTTAAAATTAGAGGCAAGGAATACAAAACCAGGAGGCAAAATACTGCAGATGTCAGAATTCTGAAAAACAAACAATTGGAAATGTACAGCAGGTCAGACAGCATTTGTGCAAATAAACAGGTAACTTTTTGAGTTGATGATGTTCCTTCATTTGATAATATTGCAATGTTTTTTGATCTCAGAAGGAAGAAAAATTAATTCCATAACATTTAAATTAATATTTGCATTTCTTCCAAACTGCAGCTACTAAAAGGTGAATAATATACTGATCCATCATTCAGTAATCATTGAAAAAATAGGTCTGAAAACAGTCTTTTCCAAACTGCCAGGTTCATTTTACAATTGAAATTGGACAAACTAATGAGTAAGAATTTTAAATGATAAATACACAAATTTACTTAAGCTTGACTTGATTGTCAGGATTTGCTGGGAACTTGTATTTAAAAGGCATGGGTGGTATGAGCATACTGCTTGTATGTATGATTAGGATTATGAATATATATGATAACAACTTTTTATTTTCTTCATAGAGCTTTTGCAGGTGCAACTGTGCATGATTTCTTTAATTGGCTGTCAGTTCTTGTCCTGCTACCAATTGAAGCAGCCTCCGGCTATCTATACCATCTCACTCAGATCATTGTTCAATCATTTGATCTCAAGAATGGTGAGGATGCTCCAGATATGTTAAAAGTCATTACTGATTGCTTCACGAAACTTATTATACAGGTAAGCTATTACAACATAGAGATGATGGAATCGTTATTAAACCATTCACCAAACCCAACCAAATAATAATCTTCCATGCTACTGCTAGACTGATGAAGTGTATCCAGAGAGTTCAAAGCTTGTCAAACCCTCAATCTGATGGTACCCGATCACACTTTGGAGTGGAGTGGTGAACAAAAACTTAAGGGCAGCTATTGACTATTGTTTCTGCATCTACTTTTCTGGCCCCCAAATTTGAAGGACATACTTGATGCTGCTGGAGAGCCATAGCCAGAAAGAATCAAGGCCCAAAGATTCTGTTGGGAAGCATTTGAAGATTATCGAGCCTGATAGCCAGCATGTGCCTAAGCATTATGAGACTGAGGAAGTCCTAGTGCAAGACCCACTAGTATCTTTTTTTGAGATGCAGTGAATAGAACTGGAGGTGAAAAAGCCAGCAATATTCTCCCAGCCCATTTCCTTCAAAACCCTATTGCTGAAGAAAGCCTCAGCCTCCTTTGTTTTCCATTGTATCTAGAAATGGTTTCTCAAACATTTGATGAAGAAAATCACTCTAATATACTTTCAAGGATGATACTTTAAATACTTTCACTTTTATATTGAGTTCGTACAGTTTCCAGTAAATAAGCAGCAGTTAAAAAAGCTTAGACTATTGCATAAATGAACGTAAATAAGCATATTGATGTACCAATAAGTTGAAATAAAAATATTTAATAAATTATTTAGGAATGATTTATTATATTAAGTGAAAATAATTTAAATCACATTATAGGTCAGGGTAGCATTCTTGTCTGAGTCAGAAGGCTACATGTTTACATCCTATTTCAGCAACAGGCAAAGGCAAGCCTCCAATTGCAGTACAATACTGAAGAAACATAATGTGACAAGAATTGTTTTTTATTATATTTAGTGATGTGATTAATTACTAAGTTTTGTTTGACATCACACTTTTCATTGAGGTATTCAAATGAATTGTGAAGTCAGTAAAACCCTTAAGCTTTGTGTTTCTACGAATCATTCTGCTCAAAAATTGATGGTCCAAATGAGCAGGACAGATGCTCTTAGCGGGAACACAAGGTGCTGTAAAAAGATTCTTTTATGTAAAAGTATATTTTATCTGGGGAGGAAGCGATTCTCCTTTTTTGACTTGCCCAAAGCAACCGAATTTTATGTTAATTAATGACAAAATAGATGCTTGTAGAATTGAGGAGTTGAAACTATTTCAACATTAGCAAACAGATTACACATTTAGGATTTTACATTATACTTTGCAGGTTTCTTGGCTGTAATTTTAGTTTCAAGTAATCAAGGCGGCCAAACAGCCTGTGTCATTTAGCAGTGCAATTGACACCGTTAAGGCTTCATGGTTTCTCAAGGCTAGACTTCAGAATTCTCGTTCCATTCTATGATCATTTCCATGACCCAGAGCATTGACTTCTTTACTGATTAGGTTTCCCTCCGAACTGAACTGAATTATGGTAACAATGATTGATTCATCTCTCAGCTAAAATCTCTGTGAGACCTTTATATGTTAACCTCCAAGGTAAAGAACGGAATATCAATCATACCATACCAAGAATTTTCTTTTTGTTTTACTTCTTTAATTGCAATCTTTTAGATGAAAAGAAAACTGTGACATGGAAACCAGGCAGTATCATTAGAGAGAAAAGTCAAGGTGCACAGATAATTAGAAGAGACTAATAACCCTAGAGCAGGAACAATAAGCTATTTGGTGAGGTCTGATTGAGGGATAATGTATTAAGATCTAAAAGAGAAGAAAGTTTGGGTACAGTTAAGGTACATTTGCTTGAGGGGAAAAGATAAGGCTAAGAAATCCAGAGGTCCATAGATGATGAAAGAGATACAGACTAAGATGAAGCAAAAAATGGTGCTTATGACAGTGTCAGGTGGATAATATAATTGAGAAGCAGGCTCAATCTAGAAAGTTAGGAGGAGAAGTAAAAAAAAATTGATAAATGCCTGGCGGCTAACACAAAAGGGAATCCAAAAGTCTTCTGGTGAAATATGAAAAGTAAAAGGGTGTTTGAAGGAGGAATGGGCCTAATTATTGACCTAAAATGGTTTTATTCTGCAAGGCAGGAGGTATGGCTGAGGTACTGAGTACTTTGTATCTTTCTTTGCCAAGGAAGAAGATGCTGCCCAAGTCATGGTGCAAAGGGAATAGGGTAGTATTTTGAGATAATTGATGGGCTAACCATGGATAAAGATAATGTATTAGATAGGCTGGCTATAGTTAATTTGGATAAGTCACCAGGACAAGATGAAATGCATCCAAGGATAGTGTGGGAAATAAGGATGGAAAGACACATGCCAACATTTTCCAATCCTCCCTTCATATAAAGGTTCACAAGAATGATTTCAGGGATGAGGAACTCCAGTTACTTAAACAAATTGGAAAAAAACTAGGGGTCTTTTTCTTTGAACAGAAAGGTTTGCGAGGACATTTGATAGAGGTATTCAAACCAGTGAGGGACCTGTACAAAAGTGAATCTGTTCCCAGTGGATGTATTGAGGTCCAAAAAGCACCAACTTAGGGTGATTATCAAAAGAGGTGATGCAACATGAAGAAAAATGTTTTACACAGTAAATCTTTTAGGTCTGAGGTATGACGGAGGCAGATTCAGTTGTGACTTTAAAAAAGAACTGTCTAGTTATCTCAAAAATAAAAGCTTACAGTGCTACGGGGATTAGAACGGAGAAAGGGACTAAGTGAGTTGCTCTTGCTAAAAGTTTGTACAACTAAGACAGGCTGAGTGATCTCCTTCAGTGCTGTCACCATTCAATGATTCTATACTGTGTGAATCATCGTAGACTCTATAATCAATGTTGCGACAATAACCAAAAAAGTGATGATCATGTCTGCACTTCTTTTTCTAAGCCTCTCTCTCCTCCTTAAAGATTCTCTTTTTAAATCTACTGTTTTGACAAATATTTGACATGATCTAATATCTCTTCAGGTAGTTAAGTGCCAGATTTTGTTTGATAATGTTCATTTGAAGCCTACGGAACATTTTACAAAGTTTAAAGATTCCATTGCTGTTGTTGCAGTTATATCATAATATAAAATCCCACATGACAGTTTGAGAATTTATTTTCAATTTTAATAATCTGGATATTAAAAGAAACTGATATCGATATTGGTCACCATGAAATTGTTGGTTTTCTAATGCGCTTAGAATTGGAATTCTTACCCAGTCTGGTCCATATGTGCCACTAGTACCACAACATGGGATTAGTTCTTAACTGCCCCAGCAAGCCATTCAGTTGTGTGAAAATTGCACCACCTTCTCAAGGATCGCCCTTCACAGCCAGTAAATATTAATATTGCTAACGATGCTATTCTGCCAAAAGTGAATTTTTAAACATTATTTGAATTCACAGACAGTGACATTTAATCAGAAATTCGTGGACTGCTTTTCTCTTGATGATTTGTTAAAATTATTTTATTTCAGTTGGATAAATCTGTAATAAATGAAATAGCAACAGGAAATCCAGCAGCAGCAAACAAAAGCCTTATTAAGGAATGGTGTAAAACCACAACTCAAATGGTAAGTGAACAATAAATGTAGGTAAACTAATACAGAATGTAATTAAAATAACTGACAGTGATGAAAAGCTTGTGTGCATTTAGAGACTATTTCTACAAGCATAATCCAGAAAAATGGCAACAATTTATGATTGAAGAAAGCTGGTCAAATGGTGCAGCAATCATAGATCAACACAAAAGAGGTTGTAGCTATGGTTACTCCAGCCAAGAATTTGCAAGACCTTAGTATGGGGGAAGAATATCGGAACAAAACCTATTACTGACTTTCTGCCTGTTCTAACAAATTCTGAGTGGAGTGTGGAATGGGTACAATTGTTCCCCTACTGCACTCATCATTTTAACAGCCATCTATCAATCTGATTGAACCAATCTGGTGCACAATGAAGAGTGACTCATTAGAATCTTAGGCTGATATCTCTCTCATGGCCATCTGTACCTTCTTGTTGTACTTGCTCCTAGCCATATATTTATATGCAAAGTTATTTGACTTCTTGCTGATTTCCCTGCTCTGGACATTCTTTCCCTTCCTTTGTGTTGTACTGCACAATATTACTATGCAGCCCTTTATCCATTATTGTTCTGCACTTTGAGCATGGAATGTCTATCAACATAATTCAAAGCTTAGTCTGTTCTGCCATGAATATGCTCTGGCTGCTGATTTACAATTTTAGCATTTCTTCACATCAGTTGCTTTCCTAAGAGTAAATTTCCCCTCTCTCAAAAGACATGTGCTCACTGCAAAATCTCTTATGCCGAATAAAATTCTTTAATTAGATAATCTGTTAGTTGTGTAAATTCACAGAATTCTGTGAACTGTGTTCATGAAGTAATATATTGTTAAATATAATCTTTTTCACCTTGGACCCTGATGTTGAATACATACCTTTAATATGTTACATCTGCTCGGGGTTCAAATTGTGCCTTCAAACTTTTCAAAATTTCTGTAGTTTGTTTCTTCCTGTTTCTGAGAGAAATTTAAAGCGGAATATGTTTTGAAACTGTTTTTCTCAACAGTGCTATAGCTCAGTGTACTTGCTTGGCTTAGTAAATAGATTAAATAGAATTAAATAGAATCTATCACAATTTCATAACGTTACCACTGTGCACAGAAAAACTGCCAGTTGCGTTTTATATCACCTTCTGTTTCAACTGAACATTCCTGTGACTTTTTCACAGCTCGCAAACATGAAATCTCAGCTGCACTGTGACACCATGTTCGGAGCTCACAGGCTAACAGTCTGGCTTGTGTCCTGTATCTTTATCAAAAACTGATTGCAAGATCATTACATCCAATCAGTGTGTTGTGGTAATGTCACATGACAATAGCAAGCCTGAAGGCACATTGATCTACTGCTGCATTTCCATTCCAAATACCTTGCCCTTGATTGTAGATGGCAGTGGTAAACCACCAGTGTCAAAAACTGGGGGAAAAAAAACAACTTAGGATGTTCTGCATCTGCAGAAAACATGTCAGGCACCTGCCTTTGGGCAAAGCACACGTGGAGTGGAAAGGAATTAGGCAGAATACAATTCTTAATTTAATGACAGAATAACACTGTAGGACATTTGTTAATGCTGAAGTGTGGTGTTCAGTTTCAGGTTGTAAAGAACATTATTGATTTTGCATAATAGTTCTTTTGTCTTCCAGGTAGAGAAAAATGTAACTGTTCCCAATGAATACAACTGCACATCACCTGAGTTTTGCTGGAGTGATGTCAACCATACTTGGACTCTGAAAAATGTATCGGAAACAATAAACCTTCAAAAATGTAAATTGCTTTTATTTAAGAAAGCATTACCATAACCAGTTAACCAATTGAATGCAGCTTATTCGTTTGAAGGTTAAAAGCCTCAGAACTGCCTTGTATTTCTAACAAAGACTGAATAAGTGTAAGATAGAGTAGTGGAACACTGGGCTAGAGGAAAATACTGTAGGTGGAGTCAAATCCACCTGGATGGAAAACATGGTGGCTGAGCATACTGAAATGCATGAGAGGCCCTGGGTCCATCTTCTAGCAATGGAGAAGTCCTCCAGCGATTAAGTTGGAGGCAGGAAGGAGGCTATGTGAGAGATGCCCACTCGTTGTGGGATGTCAGTGAGGCTTATTAATAAACTACTGATACCAATTATAGCACGCCGTATAAAATGGAGCAGTGGTTCAGGGATTAAATAGGAGATGCACAGTTTTCCCATGCTTCTAGTAAAGCGTTTGATAAGGTTCCCCATGGTAGGCTATTGCAGAAAATACGGAGGCATGGGATTGAGGGTGATTTAGCGGTTTGGATCAGAAATTGGCTAGCTGTAAGAAGACAGAGGGTGGTGGTTGATGGGAAATGTTCATCCTGGAGTTCAGTTACTCGTGGTGTACCTCAAGGATCTGTTTTGGGGCCACTGCTGTTTGTCATTTTTATAAATGACCTGGATGAGGGCGTAGAAGGATGGGTTAGTAAATTTGCGGATGACACCAAAGTCGGTGGAGTTGTGGATAGTGCGGAAGGATGTTGCAGGTTACAGAGGGACATAGATAAGCTGCAGAGCTGGGCTGAGAGGTGGCAAATGGAGTTTAATGCGGAAAAGTGTGAGGTGATTCACTTTGGAAGGAGTAACAGGAATACAGAGTACTGGGCTAATGGTAAGATTCTTGGTAGTGTGGATGAGCAGAGAGATCTCGGTGTCCATGTGCATAGATCACTGAAAGTTGCCACCCAGGTTGATAGCGTTGTTAAGAAGGCGTACAGTATGTTAGGTTTTATTGGTAGAGGGATTGAGTTTCGGAGCCATGAGGTCATGTTGCAGCTGTACAAAACTCTGGTGCGGCCGCACTTGGAGTATTGCGTACAGTTCTGGTCACCGCATTATAGGAAGGATGTGGAAGCATTGGAAAGGGTGCAGAGGAGATTTACCAGGATGTTGCCTGGTATGGAGGGAAGGTCTTATGAGGAAAGGCTGAGGGTTTTGAGGCTGTTTTCATTAGAGAGAAGAAGGTTAAGAGGTGACTTGATAGAGACATACAAGATGATCAGAGGATTAGATAGGGTGGACAGTGGGAGCCTTTTTCCTCGGATGGTGATGGCTAGCACGAGGGGACATAGCTTTAAATTGAGGGGTGATAGATATAGGACAGATGTCAGAGGTAGGTTCTTTACTCAGAGAGTAGTAAGGGCGTGGAATGCCCTGCCTGCAAAAATAGTAGACTCGCCCACTTTAAGGGCATTTAAATGGTCATTGGATAAACATATGGATGATAATGGAATAGTTTAGGTTAGATGGGCTTCAGATTGGTTTCACAGGTCGGCGCAACATCGAGGGCTGAAGGGCCTGTACTGCGCTGTAATGTTCTATGTTCTATGTTCTCAAAGGTTACTCAGCAGCCTACTGAGGAATTCCTCATTGTTGGAGATTTTGGGCTCTAAATATCTGGAAGTTGCTCCCCTGCCCTTGTTTCTGACCTGAACTGGTGAGACCCTAAATTGCAGAGAAGATTTACATTGCCTGAAAGGTACTTAATTTGGTCAGGCTTCCCTCACACAAAAAATGTGGATTTCCTACCAATTCTCCGAATGGTGGTCAGCACCCACAATATCAAATTCAACCCATATACTAATGTAAGATGCTTCATGCTTTCTTTTTTGGATTGGAATTATTTTTCATTTGATTATAGAACTGAAGCACTTTGAGACATCGTGCTATGTTAAAGGCACTATATGAAAGCAAATTATTGAAGCATGTCAAATTATGGAATTCATACATAGAATTATGGAATTCATTCATACATATTGTTATTTCAGGACATTAAGCCATTTAGGAATATGAGATATCTGTAAAATTGTAATAGATTAACTCAGGCATTACACATAATAATTCCAGTTTCTTTTTTCTTAGGTCATCATCTGTTTGTAAATACAGCAATATCTGATTTAGGCGTTGGTCTAATCCTTCTTGCAGCCTCTTTGATTGTACTGTGTACCTGTTTGATACTTATTGTTAAACTTCTCAACTCCATGTTAAAAGGACAAGTTGCTACAGTTATCAAAAAATTTATCAATACTGGTAAGTGTAAAAACTCATTTCAGATCACCAATCTGATATGCATAGTTTGGGATAAATTAATCTTCATCCATGCTCCTTCTTTATTTGCTGACCTTTGCAGTTCTAAGCATGTTGAATTCAAGTCATTTGCTACTTTTTTTCACTGTGAGATACATGATACAGTGAATACAATTAAATTTACACATATTTAATTCTTGTCGGGGTTTTGGTAAAAGACACCTTTCTAACTTTAGTTGTCCACTCATCAGAATGTGGGAAGAAGAAACAAATTCCACAGTGTTAATGCATGGAAGACCTATAATCTTTCCATGATTTTTGTCATAATATTTTGAAAGTGAACGCTGAATGAAAGAGCTGCTGCCATGGAGAATACACTCATTAATGATGACCAACAGCTAAAACTCATCTTGCAGCTCAGACAACTTTGCTGAAAATTACACTAATTGTTTTGGTGATTTTTTAAAATATGTATTAGATTGGATTTAAGGAAGCACACTTACATAATCAGTATTCACTATTGTCAGATGAACAAGGCCCGAGTGACAAACCAATATCTCCTGACATAGCAGTTAGAAATCTGCAGTCATTCAGATCAATGTGTTCCTTCTTTATTTTAAGTTATAAATTATATTTAACAATCTGGATCAAAATATTTTCATGGTTTCATTGAACAATGTTCTTTGCACTAATTATAAGAAAATGTGTAATAAATAGAACTCTGATATTGATCAGATATTAACTCAAGTGATTGAAATATACTTTTCTTATATTTGGTAATAAGATCATATATGTTATGAACAAGGACAATTACTAATTCAGAGGGAGCTTAACTTGTTTCATAACAACAATATATACAGTTTAGTTTTATATTTGTAAATTGACATTTAAACATGGAAATATTTTTTCAATAATTCAGTGTGATTGTCCATTGTATACATAACAATATCAATAATTTGTGGTATGTTTGTCACTTAAGTACAGGTAAAGTAATTCAAACTATAAACCTTTTGCAGATTTCAAATTTCCATTTGGTTGGTTAACTGGATATATAGCTATTGCAGTGGGTGCTGGAATGACTTTTATTGTTCAGAGCAGTTCCATTTTTACTTCAGCTCTTACTCCATTAGTTGGTAAGTGTAAGAAATACATTTTATATGAATATACTGTAAGTTGCAGCATAAATATTATTTTACGAAGGTATTTATTTATTTGGCAGGAATTGGTGTAATAAGCATTGAGCGAGTATATCCCCTCACACTGGGTTCCAATATTGGTACAACTACAACAGCTATTATAGCTGCTCTTGCTAGTCCAGGAGAAACCTTAGCTGACTCTCTGCAGGTGAGTAATTAAACAGATCATACAGTTTAATCGCAATTTTACATGTAGTGTAGTGGTGTAGCATTTATCTTATTGGAACAGTTAAGCAGAGATCCAGCTAATAATCCGGCAAACATAAATTTAGTTCCTACCATGATAGCTGAAGATTTGAATTCTGTTTTTAAAAAATCTGGTATCAGTAGAAGAGACTGAAGAAAACCAGCTAGATCCATTCAGAACCGAAGCATCCCACTTCAATTGGTTTGGCTTGTATGCAGTTTGAATATTATACTCTTCACTGCCCTGTGAAATAGTGTAGCAAGCTACTGAGCTGTTGAAGAGGACAGCTCACCACCGTCTTCTTAGAGCAACAAGCAGCTGGCTTTAAAAGCTAGATCATATTCTGAGAATGAATTAAGCATGTTATCAATCAAATTAATGTGACTTCTGTTTCCAAGGATTTTACTTTTTTAAAAAAAATTACTAGTTCATAAAGATAGAAGTACTTATTCATATGTAGTTTCCTTTTTTGTTCTTCCTTTTCCATATGTGGTAACTGTTGGTGATGAACAGTAATTTCTTGTTCAAGTGTTTATTTTTTCATATGTGAATTTGGTTAGAGGGACTTTTAGAGCTAACATATCTGTTCTCCCTTATATTCATCAGAAATGGGGAGGGGGAAGAGAGCTGGGAAAGAGATAGAGAGAGGAGGGGTGAGACTGGGTAAGGTAGTGGGATGATGATAGGTGAATGCAGGGTGGGGATTGGTCAGTGGGATGGGTGGAGTGGATAGTTGGGAGAGAAGATAGACAGGTTGTGTTGGGTCAAGGAGGCAGGGGGGAGGAGGGCGGGGGGGGGCGCTAGGCTGGATGCAGGTAGCGGCTAGTGGGGATTGGTCAGTGGGAAGGGTAGGGTAGATAGATGGGGAAGAAGATGGACAGTTTGTGTCGGGTCAAGGAAGCGGGCATGAGAGGGAGGGTTGGACATGGGATGAGGCCGAGGGTGGGGAGATTTTAAAACTGGTGAATACTATGTTAAGGCCATCAGGCTGGAGGCTCCTGAGGCGGAATATGAAGTGTTGCTCCACCTGTTTTCATGTGGTGTCATTGTGGCCCTGGAGGAGGCCCAGGATGGACATGTCACCCACGGAATGGGAGGGGGAGTTAAAATGGTTAGCGATCAGGAAGTGTTATCATTTGTCGCGTACAGAGCGCAGATGCTCTACAAAACGGTCCCTGAATCTACATTTGGTCTCACCAATGTAGAGGAGGCCACATTGGGAGCAACACATACAGTAGACCAAGTTGGAGGACGTAGGTGAACCCCTGTCGGATATGAAAGGTTTGCTTTGGGCCTTGTATGGAGGTGAGGGAGGGAGGTGTAGCATTTCCTGCGGTTGCAGGGAAAGGTGTCGGGTGTGGTGGGGTTATTGGGGAGTGTAGAGCAGACGAGGGTGTCGCAAAGTGAGCGGTCCTTACGAAAGGCAGTTAGGGGTGGTCATGGGGCTGTATTGTAGGTGGCGGAAGTGGCGGAGAATGATACGCTGGATGCAGAGTTTGGTGGGGTGGTATGTGAGGACCAGGGAGATACAATCCGACCCCACGACCAAAGGGATATTTTCCTCCCCACTCCTGTCTACAGCCTGATGGCCTTAACATAGAATTCACCAGTTTTAAAAT